GCTAAGGGTGTAACAAGGGGCAAGCTGCGCGGACGATAAGAGGGGTAGGGGGGATAGGGGGGATGGAGGTGACGTGCTTGGGTGGCAAAACAACCGCATGAACATATACATACGTATAGTATGCTCGACTATAGTATACATATGTGGGATTGTGTGTGCACCACACACTCGGTAGGCACGTTTATATACTCGACCAACCAAACAAATGCGCGTGTTCGCACACACACATACACAGACGGCTTGTGTGTGTGTGTGTGTGCTGGTCAGGCCGTGAGTTTGTGAATGACGTGACGTTCTTGTTGTTGTTCCAGTTGTTGCCATTTCGCGCGCTGCTGATGACATGCCCTTTTACATTCCTTCAAAAATAGGGAACAGCAACAGCCACAGCGGAAGTGTGTGCGTAAGTGTGTGTATGTGTGTGTGTTAGCGCCATCCACACATTCAAGTCTTTCTTGGCCCAGCGCACGCAATCCGTGGAATGCAGCAGCCACATACAAAATGCACCCTAGGCTCTAGCTGAAGGTAAAAAATATATAAAAATTATTGGAACGCACTTGATTCGAACTCGAGCGAGGACTGTCTCTGAAGAGGGACATCAGCTCATAAACCTTGAGTTCTCACGCAGGCTTGTTTGTGATCGTGCGTTTGAGTTGGATTATTCAAAAATATGAAATACGATCGTCATCCACTTATGGGTATTTGAATGGACAGGCTGTTCTCATCTTTTAACTTATTTCTTCCAAAATATTAAGGCAGCATAAAATCATTATTTAGTTTCATCTAACGAGTTTATTTAATTTAGAAATCTATTTACATAAATCTATCATACTTATTGTATAAATATGAAAATATGTTTTGGTTAGTTTTGCATACTTGTACACTCGTATGTTATAAAGCAATTTTTCTGAAAAACTTGAAAACAACATTTTTTTGAAACAACAAAAATAATTCTTAAGCGCAATTTGAGATTCAAATTTCAGCATGCAGTTTTCCAAATGAAAAGCACTTCATTTTTCGAAGAAACTTAAACTGATTATAAAACAGTTTGTCCTGCCTGTCTGGTGTTTCAATACAGCCCAAGCGATAAGAGCTGGGCAGCTGAAATTTGGGAAAATCGACCTCAAACGATCTCCAAAGATTGTGTTCAAATTCTTCATCTTCACTTGAACTGTAAGCTTGCTTAGCTTACCCAAAAAAATGATACAAAATGGGTCCGTTTTGAAAAAGTCGACCCCCAAAAAAAGGACATTTGAAATATGGAAAGGAAAAAGAAATAAATCAAGGTCAAATGGAATGAGCTAGGCAGCTTAAATTTGAGTTAAAGTTTCCTTTCCAATTACCGATGAACACTGAGTTCCAATTTGGCTCCAAGTTGGGAAAAGGGGCTTTGTATGAAACAACTGAATTTTTAACCAATTACTTGTAATATACTTGTATAATTTTTTTATATTTCTTTAGTTCTGGAATAGAAAAGTAATATCATATTAAAACATACAATAACTTGAGCCGTTACTGTCATTTGTTCAGCTTCTTAACTCGAACGTTTTTGCGCATTAACGCATGATCGTTTATATAATATATGTGTTATTTAATCCCAGACAAGACGAAATAAAATAGTTGGTAGCTTTTTAATTAAATTTTCCTGCTGCTCTCACCTTTAACTTGCAATTTTTTAACTGGCATGGCTGTGTATTTATTTTAAGTTCAACTTTTCGCAAATGTGTCACACCTGCCAACACTTAACCACCAACTACGGCTTTGGCTTGAACACCAACTCCAACACCAACACCAACAACAACGAAGCACAACTCAACTCAATTGAAGTCAACTGGACTGAATTTAACCCCCAGTAGCTGACCACAGTGCCATTATGGGTTTATATACTGTGGAGAGTGACAGCATGAGGCCTTGCTTCGTTGACTAAGGCCGGAAGGGTGGGGGCTGGCGGCTGGCGGCTGGGGGTTGGGCGATCGTGGGGGCTTTTTGTTTCTTGTTGGTTTTGGGGGCTTTGGGGTTTTGGTTTTCAGTTTGACTTGACATGCATCAGCATCATTATTTTGTGCTTTTAATGTTTTATTTAGACTTGCTGCCAACAGCTATACACACACACACGCACACACACACATGGACTGGACTGCGTTGTGGGGGCTCTGCTGTCTGGCCTGACTGACTCAGTGGCTGCTTGGCTGCTTGGCTGACTGAATAAATGAATGACTGCCTGACTGCCTGACTGGCTACGTGACGTTTTCACTCGTTTTGTGTGCGAACTGCGCCATTTTCAACGAACCACTCAAACAACATTTAAAAAGGCCTCATTTTGTTGTTGCTCTGCTGTTGTTGGTCTTGTTGGTGTTCTACTCAGCACATAATTGTTTGAAACAAATGTAGTGCACACACATAGATGTACTCGTACGTACATATACATACATGTATATTATATATAGCACGTGCATACATATGTGTGGGATATTTTATTAGGCCATTCATGGAGTCAGTCATTTAGTCAGTCAATCAAACTTGACAGGCAATTAAAGTTTCACTGACCGTTGCAGCAAGGCAGCAAACAAAGAACCGAAAACCCCATCAAATGGTTACCCAAATAAATAAACCACAACCGAATGCTAAACACATACATATGTACCCGGCAGTACTGGGATATGAACTGTTTCACTGTTTCACCATTAAAGGGCGTTTTGAAATTATTTTACATAACAAATGTGGCAGAAAAGTGGGTTTTTAGAAGATCAATTAATAAATTATTTAAAGCTTGATTTTCGAATGTTTCCAATAAATAATTCAATGTTGTTATATTTGGATTTAAGTCTGGAGCACGGGCCGGTCAGTGCACAGGTTGGAGAGGGACGTGAAGAAAATAGCCTTTTGTAAACGTCTTCTTCAATACTTTCAGAAGATCCTCTATATAATATAATCTTTTAATACAAAAATTGTAGTTGATATTACCTATATGAATGGCTTTTTCCCACATAATGCTGTCGCCCTTTCATGGAGCTAACCAATGCTTTTAAAAAGAATACCTTAAGCAGAGCTCATTCCAAACTTAGCTGGCATTTGATGGCTTTAAGACCAAAGACTCGATAAAATAGCGCAGAATTCGAACGCCTCTATATCTTTGGTTATCCTTAAATTGTCTTTAATTAATTCGTTTTTTAATCACTAACTCACGCTTTAATTGTTGGCTTCTTAGAAAATTCGGAATACGCCAAGACAGAATATAATTCGTTATTATTTATTTATGTATTATATTTCTGTGTGAACTGTCGACATTAAGAAATATAACTGTTATAAGAAAACCTTATAAGCTTGGAATCTAATCACGTTTTTCAACTGAACTTCACTTTCAATTGAAAAGATTTAGTGGAAGACACGCGCTTCTCTCAACACAAGAAATAAATAAACATATTTATGTTTTGTTTTGGCTAATTCTGAATTATTGACTAGCAAAGGATCGCTCTAGCTAGACTGCAGTACTGCAGGGTACAAATGGGCATACATGTTTGCTATTCGAACTCTTTTATTTGTTGTTTGTGTCGACTTTTGGGCAACAAATTCGTGCTCAGCACATTTTCATGGCTTGTCGATGAACGATGATGATGACATTTCAGTTTCAAGCCTTCACAATCCAACAATGCGGATGTGTGTGGTTATGTGTGTGTGTGTGCGTGTGGTTCAGACACATGTACATATAAATCGAGTCAAGGCGTTAGTAATCGAAGCTCTTCGAATAGTCGTTGTTGTTGTTCTTCTTCTTCTCCTTCTTGTTCTTCTTCACCTTCTGCCTTCGCCTCTCTCATTTACATCGAGTGTTTTCCAGAAATGTCACACACACACACACGCACGCAAACGCACGCAAACGCACGCAAACACACACACACGACACCCGCACTTGAAAAAATGAGCGTACGCCTAAAAGCATGCAACAAAACGCATGCCAACACTTCTGGGCTACACTTGAAGTTCTTTATGCTTATAATATATTCGTATATGGCACTTATACGGATATATATGTATTTGCGAGTATGTGTGGGTGGTTCGCTATAAAAATAGCACAATTATTATACACAATGAGAGGTACCTTTGTGCTGTATGTGTGTGTGCGTGTGTGTGTGCGTGTGTGTGGGCTTAAGAGTACGTGCTTGTATCGCTGCATGGCCAATCGAAGTTTATGTTTTCCAATAGGTTGTTGGCAAGCAGCTATTTAATTTGGGTTAACACGCCCAGTTGCGTAAAGGAGGGCAGTAAATGGAATGAAAATAATGCAGCAGTTTACAGTTTTGTGAGAGCTAAGAGGGGTGAGAGCGACTGAGTGTAAAGCTGAGAATATTTCCAAAATATTTGCTGTCAAATAATACAAATGAATTGTACTTTGATAGCCATAAATATACGAGTAAGGAATGCGAACACAAATCTCATACCTGTACGCAAACGTTGCTCTGCAAATGCAGCCTATTTGAAGAGCCCTTTAAATTAGGTCTTATTTTTCATTTTGTTTTCTTTTTTCCCATTCTATTTTAAGCGTCCTATGCTGTTGTGGTTGAAAGTTTACTTAAGAAATGCCAAGCAGGGAAAAGTATAAGTATATAAAACACAATTACAGAAAACCATAAAGCAGAACACTTTTAAATAATTGTGTGTGCGCGAGCTGTTAAGACCAATTGTGTGCTACTTTAATAACTGAACAATTCATTGTTAATGCTTTTCGTAGCATACCATGCTTTATCAGGCTGTTTGTTCACCTCTTTCTATCAAGCTTAAGAACAGTGAAAACTCTCTTAATGGAAACCTCTCTTAGGGGTCACTTTTTCTAGAAAATTCGTTTGCTCTACTAAGTATTTAAGTATCCTCTTAGGTGAACACTACCCTTGGGTGGGCAAAATTTGGCTGACGTTGAGTGTCCGGCCAAGAGGGCGGAATGGCTTGTAAATGGCACTGTTTCATTGAACAGTTTTATACAACTTCCCTTTACCTTCTTCTCATTGCAGGCTTATCCTAATCGAGATATCACCAATATTGTGGAGTCATCGCACTATCAGAAAATTGGTGGCTGGTGCCGTCAGGGCGCCTTGAACGCGGCCAAGTGTAAGGGAGCCCATCGCTGGATCAAACCATTCCGTTGTCTAGGTAAGTACTGATCAGAATTCTGAGTCGAACAGTTTCTACAATGCTGTGGATCGCATGCCACATTTTCCATCGACATCGCCAATGCCACGTTTGGCTTCAGAAGGACCATTCCAATCGGATGCACTGCTGGTGCCCGAGGGCTGTCTCTTCGATCATATACACAACGCTTCGCGCTGCTGGCCCTTCGTGCGATGGAATCAGACAGGAGCGGCCGCCTGCCAGGAGCGTGGCATGCAGATGCGCAGCTTTGCGATGCTACTGCCCTGCGGCATTTCCCTCTTCTCGGGCGTCGAGTTCGTCTGCTGCCCCAAGCACTTCAAGAGTAAGTAGTTGGCTAATAGCCTTTTACAATTTTCTGGCTAACTAGCTCACTTGATTTGCACAGCCGATGAGATTCGCGTGAAGAAGACCGATTTACCCGTAATGCCTCCAGCACAAATCTCCAGCACCAACGACGAACTGAACGCCAATGATGATGAGGACAACAACGACTCGAATTACTCGAAGGATGGCAACGACGACGAGCTGGACGACGAAGATGATCTGATGGGGGATGACGAGGAGGATGAAATGGTGGCTGATGAGGCAGCGGCGGCGGGCACTGGCGTTGGTGCCGATGCAAATAGCGGGGCGTTGGATGACATCAATGCGGAGTACGATAGCGGCGAGGATAGCGACAATTATGAGGATGATGGCGCTGGTGCTGAGAGTGATATGGGCGGTGCCGATAGCTGGGATCAGAATGGCAGTTCGAGTGGCGTGAAGCCGCCTGTGTTGAAGACCACCTCCTCATCGCCAGCCACAGTTGTGGCCTCCGCCTCGGCCACAGATGCGGACAAGTCCAAGACCATGGATGCAGATGCTGCCATCAAGCTCGATGCTAATGTCGTCACCGGCACACCACAGCTTTCGGCTGCTGCTGCTGCCGCCGCTGCGGCTGCAGCTGCTTCAGTCGGTGGTGCTGGCGGTGCTCCTCCGTCAACGGCCCAGCCCACATCCGATCCATACTTCACGCACTTCGACCCCCACTACGAGCATCAGAGCTACAAAGTAAGTCAGAAAGTAAGTGTTAACCTTGACGGCGCAGGTTTATTTATCCAAGAAAAACAAAACGTATTCTAAACAAAGGAAGCCCAACAGCGCCTTGAGGAATCACATCGCGAGAAGGTCACCCGAGTGATGAAGGACTGGTCTGACCTAGAGGAGAAGTACCAGGATATGCGACTGGCCGACCCCAAAGCAGCCCAGAGCTTCAAACAGCGCATGACGGCACGCTTCCAGGTTTGTGGTCTTCGCCCTCAGGCGGCTGGCACCATTCGAAAAAAAAACCAAAAAAAAAAAAGTCCAGTAGTTAGCTACTTGTATTGTGCCTCCTCTATTTCTTACATCTCTATCTCTATGAATAGTCAATGTTTATATATATATATATATACATACATAACTATATTAAAATATATATATATAGATGTGTGTGCGTGTGCGTCTGCTTGACTTTCCTGTGTGCGTCTGCCTCTGTCTGCAGGGTTCGATAATCGCACGATCACAACATGTGCTGCTATCGACCCTCAAGTAGTCGTAGTCTGCCTTACTACTTTGTAGTCATTATCGTTATCGCTATCGCTATCGTTATCATTTTCATTTTCATTTCATTGTCATGTTTGTACATACATATTGTATTTATAATTTTCATGCTTTCTCTATGTTGTATGTTTGTGTCTGTACGTCTCTCACACTCACTCACTCTCTCTCTCTGTCTGTCTCTCACGTTCTCACTCTTTATCGCTTTGTAGCTGTTGTTTATTATCCTTTGCTTCCCCCTACTGACCCGTTTCCAACCTCAGAACTTTCTTTGTTGTGTATCCATGTATGGCAAATGGGAGCGAAAGAGGCATCAGATTATAACAATATCAATAACAAAAAAATACAAAAACAACCATTATACTTACATTCAAATACATTAACCAAGTACCGCTAACAACAACAGCAACAGTAAAAACAATCAAAAAAATTAGCGATTACTCGTATAGTACAAAGTGCTTTGTAGTTGAACTGATTGGCTTTAATGTATAACCCTTAGTTGACGCATTCTTATTTCTATCTAACCAATTAGTGCTAACTAAAAATTTCAAACAAGCAACAAATACTGACACCTCCGGACCGAACAACTCATGTTATCGGACGAGTAACGAGTGACAGCGAACGAGTACTGAGTTAATAAGAGTTTTTCTTAAAATTCGAATCCTTACCAACACTGAGCAAGCAAACTTACCCTGAAAGATAACAAGTAGAGATAGAACTGAATCAGGACTATATACGAATAGGAACAAGCACCTTGAATAATCGTCGTCATCGATTTGTTCTAGTGATGGGTGCAGATAGTGATAGTAATAGAATTTATAGTTTAGTAAAAAAAAGAAGAGTGGAAACATACGAAAAATCCATACAGATCTATAACAATCAGGAAATGTACAATTTAAGATGGAAAGAAGGAAAGCAATGACAAAAATAGCGAGTGACAACCAATGATTAACGAGTTACCAAAGAGCCAATGGTTCTACACTTACCAAAGAGCCTTAGCCTGATAAATAGCGAGTAGAGACAGAAGCCAATCAGGAAGTAGAAGGAAAGCTATGACAAAAATAGCGAGTGACAAATTATTAGATTAGATAGATTTTATATGTGTAAAGCTTACCAACACTTAGCAAGCAAACTAAAACAAGAAACTGAAAACAAGAAATGTATAAATTAAGATTGATAGCAGGACCAATGACGAGTAACGAGTCATTTAGAATGATTTTGAATTTATTTTCTTTCAACCAAACTGAACCTTTCAGTTAGGACGTAGAAATTCAAATAAGAAGCATTAATTGTTCTTCGAACAGGTCCCGATTATAACTCACTGCAGGTTTATTTAATCAAGTAATCAATCTAATCAATAGATTAGGGACGTAAAATCTAGATAAATTTTAATCGAATCACGAAATTCCAGCTTTAAGAGGAGTCGAAGAAAAGTGCGTTACTAAAATAGCTCTTGGATGTATAAAAGCTGATTAAACTGATTAAATGTTAAACGCTTAACCACAACTTAGAACCAAGAGTAACGAATTACGAGTACAGAGACAATGTATAATACCCATGCTGACTTGCTGCTGCCTAACTGCTATTATTGATTATGAAAGTGCCTTAAAATTGCATTTTATAGAGTATTGTGTAAAAAGCATAAGCTAGCAAAATACTTGTAGTGTATGCAAATGCTATTTATATATATGCCTATATGCTGCTAAATTTTACGCCCAACTAAGCCGTTGACGGCTCAAGAAAGACTAACGATTATTGGAATCCCTGTGCAAATACTTAAGAATTCATACTTGTGGATTAAAAAAAAAGAGAAAATGAGAAAATAAATGATTTAGCTCTATGGCTTATGTGGGTTTTAGGAAACTGTAAGACTTATTTACATATTTGGTAAACCTTAAAAAAGAAGAAAAGATATCGCATAATGGGAGTTTAAAGAAACCCGTCTTACAGAGTTCATTACATATTTTGTAAATTAAAAAAAAAATATATATATATATAAAATAAATGATATAGCTCTATGGCTTATGGGAGTTTTAGGAAACTTTGTACGTGTATTTGGCAAATATTTGGCATTCATTTGAGTCAGTCGGCCGGCCATCACCTCTATCTGTATCTGTATATCTTTCAACTGCCCATATTCATATACATACGTATAGTTGTCATAACACTCGTTAATTGCACCAGACTGTGCCCAGTTCAGCAGCACTCTCCTTGTCCAGCCACGATTCACAGCAGCCATAGCACCGCCAAAACCACCTAACCAACTAAACCAAACCAAACCAAACCAAACCATACTTAACTCAACTAACCGAACTAACCAACCAAACAACTAACCAAACAACCACAAACTGTACATTTGGTCACAAAATTAGACAATTAGCGAAAAAAAAAGCGAAATGCAATCGAAATTGAAAATAAAAACGAAACAAAACAAAAACAAACGAATTTGAGAAGCGAATTCCTCATGCTGATAATCTTTCTCTCTTGGTGTGCAATACGTCTTTATATGGGAATGTAATTTTAGACTTCTGTTCAGGCACTCGAGGAAGAAGGCAACGCCGAGAAGCATCAGCTGGCGGCCATGCACCAGCAGCGAGTCCTTGCCCATATCAATCAGCGGAAGCGGGAGGCCATGACCTGTTACACACAGGCCCTCACAGAGCAGCCCCCGAATGTGAGTATTCAGATCGGCTAATGGCTGGCGACTAATTGAGTTTATTTCTCCCTCTCTCTCACACACACACACACACACACACACACACACACACACACACACACACACACGCACACACACACATCCTCGTCGTCGTCCAGGCCCATCATGTTGAGAAGTGTTTGCAAAAGTTGTTGCGCGCCCTGCATAAGGATCGTGCGCATGCCTTGGCCCACTACCGCCATCTGCTGAACTCGGGCGGACCCGGCGGTCTGGAGGCAGCCGCCTCGGAGCGACCCCGCACTCTGGAACGCCTCATCGACATCGATCGTGCCGTCAACCAGTCCATGACTATGCTGAAGCGCTATCCGGAGCTGTCTGCCAAGATTGCACAACTCATGAATGATTATATTTTGGCTTTGCGCAGCAAGGACGACATACCCGGCTCCTCGCTGGGCATGAGCGAGGACGCTGAGGCTGGCATACTCGACAAGTATCGCATCGAGATTGAGCGCAAGGTGGCGGAGAAGGAGCGACTCCGGCTCGCCGAGAAGCAACGCAAGGAACAGCGCGCCGCCGAACGTGAGAAGCTGCGTGAGGAGAAGCTGCGCATGGAGGCTAAGAAGGTCGACGATATGCTCAAGTCGCAGCAGGCCGAGCAACAGCAACAGCAGCAGCAGCAAGTCCAGCAACAGCAACAACAACAGCAGCAGCAGCAGCAACAACAACAGCAGCAACAACAACAACAGCTGGACAAGAGCGGCAACAGCAAGGAGATCAGCGTAGATGGTGGTCTGGTAACTGCGGCCAATTTCAATCTCGATACGACAAAGAGCGAGAAGGAGTTGGCCGATGCTGAGTATGCCGAGGCCACAGTCAGGTGAGAAAAGCCTCAAACTATTTTCCAATTTTCACGCAAAACGAAAGCTACGCAAATCATTTGAACATCAACTCATTTCTTGCAACTGCAAATGATTTCTAACTTAAGAATTGCTGGTATTTTTAATTGAAATTCAACAACTACATAGTTGTGCAAATTATTTGCCTGCCTGACCACAGCTACAGACTTTTGCAAACATTTTGGCATCATTTTTCCCTTAGCCTTGAAGCAGTTCAGTGATCTACTTACTATATTTAAGAAATTGTCACACGACTTTCAGCTAATGGCTTAACATATACTTGAGAGAGAGCAATGTAGGTTGAATGCAGAGTAAGAAATTTAATTGCAACTCATACAACACTCTGCAATAAATTCCAACAGCTACATCGAAGCTATCCATTTGTGGGGGCTTTCTTTAAATAATAAAATTTTTTATTTCATATTGCATTTTTCCCCTTTCATTTTCATCCCTTTTTAAAACGACTTTAAAAAAGGAGCAGGTTCTCAATTCCACTGTATTTTTTTTTATTAAATCGGCACTTATATACAAGTAACACCCTTTTTAATTTCGCACTCTTGTAATTTCTACTGTGTAGAAATATCATTCGCTTTTTCATTGTAACTTTAAAAAAATGTTTTCTTTACAATCTTCTTTATCGTCTTCAAAATAATGTGCTTTAAATGCAATGCCAGCTTATGCTTTGCAGGCCTTAAAATCATCTTCTAAAATGTCCTTCGTAGTTCTTCTTCTCCAGCCTCTTGAGATGAGTAGTTTTACGCAAACTAGACACAAAACACTTAAATAACATTCCTTGTTAGCAGTTAGGTCTGGCGGAAGGAATTCATTATGCACAACACCATGATATTCAAAGAATATATCTTTCATATCTGAACATATCTTTGACGATGTTCGCTCGATGGATCGTACAAGTATATAGTTATTGTGGATTTTATCTTGCCAGTGTAATCAGGAAGCTTTGTTTCTTCGACTTCAAAGCGACTCTGTTTTTCCAAATAATTTAGTATTTTTGAAACTAAACAAACCACAAGAGTCCTCTTAAAATGGTGATGACATTGTTTTCAATCCACTTTTTTTGGAGCACCAGTTCTTTGATTTACCCAACATTTTGTACATCAGTTGATGGTCTTGGTCGTCTTGGATGTAGCTGTAGATGCTCTTCAACGCTTTCTGGACCCTCTTTGAAAAGTTTATACCAATCATAAGCTGGTGTTTGCCTCTTTATCGAAAAACTTCAAGCCCACAATGAAGAAAATTGAGTGAACAAGGAAAGTGCTGCTAGCTTAAAAATAAAAATATTTGTTCCTATGGATCACCCGCACGATTTCATGATCATATTGTTAGTGTACATATAAACTATAAAAAGCTTTTTTTTTCAAAAATGTTTGTGAATTATTATAATAGTGTAGTGTTGATTGTAAAATGTGTGAAGCCTACAAGTAAAGCTGTCTTTATTCTCTACCAAATCAAAAATTTGATAGCTTACAAAAAAGATTTAAACATATGTCTTAAAATATTCTTCATCTGTCAGCTAAGATCACACACTCATACACGAATGCGAAAAAGTTGGATGTTTTCGATATTTTGTGAAGCCCTCCCCCCACTGAGTGCTTTCATATGAATTGTGTGTAAGGATTTTATCCTGTGTGATAGCCAGTATAAAAAAATCAAATACCTTACGAAATAAATTCAAATTGGTATTAAAAAGCGAACATGCGAAAATGTGGAAAATAAAGTAAAGAAAAGAAAAGGATCGCTACTTGTTTATAATATTGTTCCATTAATAGATACTTGAGAACCAGTATATATTACGGAATTGTTTACACAAATTTCTTGCTTGCTAAAAAGCTAACAAAACATTCTCTTTCTTTCAACGCTCTTCATTTTGCACGCTCCACACTGCAGCAGCACCAAGGTGCAGACCGTGCTGCCGACGGTTGATGACGATGCCGTACAGCGTGCGGTCGAGGATGTGGCCGCTGCCGTGGCCCATCAGGAGGCCGAGCCGCAGGTTCAGCACTTCATGACACACGATTTGGGTCATCGCGAATCGGTATTTCAGTTGCGGCGCCAACTCACGCCGCACCTGCCTAAAGTCTATCCTATCTCGTTCTCATTGCAGAGCTTCTCGCTACGTCGCGACTTTGCGCATGCGCACGCGACCAAGGAGGGACGGAACGTCTACTTTACGCTCTCATTTGCTGGCATCGCCCTAATGGCGGCCATCTTTGTGGGCGTGGCCGTCGCCAAGTGGCGAACATCACGCTCGCCACACGCGCAGGGCTTCATTGAGGTGGATCAGGTAAGTGGGGTCGTCTAAAAAATCAATTGCAATTGCTCTCACTCTCCACATTTCTTCCCCACCAGAATGTGACCACACACCATCCCATCGTGCAGGAGGAGAAGATTGTGCCGAATATGCAAATCAATGGCTACGAGAATCCAACCTACAAATACTTTGAAGTGAAAGAGTAAATGGAGCACTTCTACAATATATATGTATAACAATAATAACACAACAACAACAACAAATACATGCACCTAAAAGCAACAGCAAGATGACGAACAACAAGAAGAAGAATAATAACAGCAGCAGCAACAACAACAACAACAAACAGAAGAGCATGATGGCACATCAAGAAGAAAGACGTAAATTAAACATAAAGAACACTTTTTTTTGTCGTCAAAAAAGGAGCACAGTTCCGAAGAAAATAAGCATCTACTCGTATATATATATTAAAGAAAATGCAAATGAAAATGAAAAACGAGACAAACATGAAATAAAAACAGAAACGTCAAAGAACATATATAAAACAAGCAATTACATTAAGGTATTTACATGTTTCAAAAAAAAAAAAAAACCAAAACAAAACCAAAGCAACAAAACAGCAAACATCTCTAACTCTTTAGCTCACTAGCTCTCTTTCTCTCGCTCGCTATCGCTCTATCTCTTTCTCTCTCAACTAAAGAGAAACGCTTCAAAAGACAAAACAAAAACAAACGAGCAGTTGCAAAGGTCGCAGAAAACATTCTTTTTTTTTTTGTCACACACACACAATCACACACACATAGAAGCTTAGTGAAAAATGAATGCAAAATAAACTAGATGTCAGAGAATGGTGCAGAGAGTTAAGAAGAAAGAAAGAAAGAAAATATATATATAACAAGCATTTTTATTCTTTCATACATACTCGTACTTACATAATACATACCCGTACATGCATAATACATATGTTGTTTTTGTTTAGCAAGTATTAAGGAAACGAATAAGTCAAGCAAGCTAAATGATAATTAAAGCAAAGAGAGCAGAAGCTACAATGGTAAATGCAAATTAATGTGTAATGATGTTTAAACAAAACAAAACCAAAAACTTATCGTGTAAGCCAAAAATAAGAAATTGCAAAACAAACAAAGAAAGAAAGAAAGCGCAAATACATAAGAAAAAAGGCAGAAGGCAGAAGGAACAAAACAAAATGCTTTGAGTATAATAGCAAAAAGGCTAAAAGAAAAGAGAAAGATATTCCTAGTAAATAAATTGTCGAAACTCACACTCACACACATATTCATACACTACCTATACTTTGAATGGCGGCGCTTGAATGACGCGCAAAAAGTGTAGCACGCTTTTCAGCGTTTTCCAAACGACCGCTACACACATACACACACACACACACACACAGCTTAGGATGGAAGCTAGCAAAATGAAAAATACGTAAGCAAAGCAGCTAACACAAACACACACTCACACATACATACATGTGAACCTAAGAGCTACCTACGCGTACTAATCTCTATATATGAACATATATATACATACATGCATATATACAGCTCTATATATATATGGCGAAAAAATAACAAAAAATCTATATATGTATACAATATATTTAAAGCAAAAAAAAAACGCAAAAGCAAATGTCCATAAATGTATTTATGTATCTATACACACGCCCAAAAAAATTAAGCAAAAGTAACAAAGAGATACTTGTACTTATATGCTAAAGCAACCGAAACAAAAGAAACAAACAAACAAACAGACAGACAGACAGACACATCTGAAGCCAGCTAGTGATGAAGATCAGTTCGTCGCTGCGTCGTGTTGCGAATGCGCCTCAGTGCTTCGGCAATTCTTTAAGCTCTTCGACACAACAACAGCAACAACAATAACAGAATAGGCACAAAAAACACTCACACTCACACACACACACATTGAAACGTGTATGCCATATCAGAAATCTGCTCTACAATTAGACAACTTATAGAATTAGACAAAAATATCAGTTGAATGACAAAAGGTGATGCTCGCGCCATCTAGCGTTCAATTGCACACTCCACTCATCACGGCCCGTCCATTGAAGTGGGGGCACTTCGATTAATGCTGGCACTGCGTTGCATAACAGTCTGGCTGCGTGCCTGCCTGCCTGAAGGAAAGGCCAACTAGTAGACTAACCAACTAACCAACCGACTAACTGATTAAGCGACGCCACAGATAAACCAATAGATATTGCCAGTTTAATTTCAAGCTCAATTGCTTGGCAAATATTTGACAGGCGTTTGTCATTCAGCTCTTACCTTCGATTCGACATACACACACACACACGAACACACACACAAAATATACACCCAAGCATACAATTTATATAAATGTAATTTGTAGTACGTTTTTTGCTATAAAACAAAAGAAAATTTGTAACTTTATTTGTATACCTACCTATATGAAAAGTTAAAAAGAAAACACACACCCACATACATACACACACATTTAAATATATGCATACATATATGAGTGTATACTGAATAGCAAGATAATGCAAATCGAAAATCAGATAAAATGGCACTTGATGTTGATATTCAAGTTAAAGTTTTCTTAGGTTTACTCTCCAACTCAATCTTTTTTTTTCCTCTCACTTGTAAAGCGACAATTTAAGAAGAAAGGAATGAAAGAAAATAATTAAAATTAGATAATATTTGTTTCGTTTGTATGCGTTCCGTTGCATTTCTCAGGCCTCTACCACCCCCAGATATTGCTGTGACACCTTATATATATATATACACACACATATATATATATATATATACTATACATACAAGAAAAAGACATACATATGTAACCTACAGATATGCAAAAGAAAAAGTTGTAATGCTTGCATGCAAACGGCATAGCTTTGCTTTAGGCTCTAAGCTTTGGAAAAGCTAAGCAAAAGGACATTTCCGCTATATATACGATATGCTATATATATATATGTAGTATATATATATACATACTATTTGTACACACAGGCCCCCTCAAAGCATTGCCAGAGACTTGCAGACAATAAGTTGCTAAGTTTCTGAGCATCAGCTGCTAGCATATGGCATACAAAATGTGGTCGCAGCAAATGCTTTTACACACACCACACTCACACACACACACACATATATAGACAGTTACAGTTTACAGATATAAAGAAGTATATAGAAGCGGACAGGCTGCGCATATTTACATAAAAAGTATTACAAAGCAAGCAACACAAAAAGTTATGGATATCTATTTCGAAGGCAACCACAGACAACCACAAACAACCACAGACAACCAACACAGACGACACGAAACAACAACAACAACAAACACAAATGAATAACAAAAACAAATCTAACTAGTCAAAGCTTGAATATTTTTTAATTTATTAATTAATATAAAAGAAACATATAAATATAAAGCAAAACAAACAAAAAACAAATAAAAAACCAACAACAACCAAAACAAAAAACACAATTGATATTTACACTTAGTGAACAAACAAAAAAGAGTAAAGTATAAAAACAACAAAAACAAAAAAAAAAACAAAAAACAAAAAAATGCAAATGTGTAAGAAATAAACCCCGTCCTGCGTAAATAAAATTAAAGAAGAGTAAATAAAAACATCAAAAAGAAGAGAAATTTACACACAAATCTAAAAATAAAAAAGAAAAAACAATGAAAAAAAAACAAAAAAGAGAACAACTCGCATGTGTTTTTGTCGTAGTCTCATCATTAAAGAAAACAAAAACAAAAAACAAATGAATGTGTAATGCAAATTTTTTTCGCAATTATGATTTACACCTAAGTTGGAATTTAATATAAGAACGTATAAAATTTAAATATTAAATGTACTCAAGACAATTGTAATTGCAACAATAATTGTACGCTATATATAAATATATATATATTATTAAAATGAACATGAACATGCAAGATTAAAAATTCGAAATGCAAAATACACATAATACGGAATGAATTGTGCAATTTTTGTGGCCATTGTTGATTCGCAGCGATAAGTCGATAAATATATATAATCGGGGCGAGCGAACAAAATTTCAAATGGCGATTTGTGGCATAAAGAAAGAGGTTCTGCATCTGAATCTAAATCTGAATATGAATATAAGAAGTAAAAATAAAACAAAGAAGCTAAAGCGAATGGCAAACAACTTGTAAAATGTTTCACAACAACAAATGGTAAACAAAAAAATGACAAACAAAACCCAAAACAAACATAAAGCGTAAGAGAGAACGGTAAACAAACACAAGAAAAACAACAACAACAACAATTTTCAATGTATAATCATATTATTTCATTTTGAATTTTTGTGTTCTTTTCGAAATATTTTGCATAAATAAAATAAAATAAAACAGAAAAACAAATTCAAAATCCGTGTTCTTTATGACAACTTCCAACGTGCGGATTACGCTTACAAAAAAGGACACTTGAAGAAATGCAAAGCGAAGGACATATCTACAAGCTCAAGGGATCGGGCTCTGCAGTGCGGCCGTCGCATAGCATCGTAGTATGTAAGCTTAGGTTAAGTAGAAGTACAGTTTTATATTTTAGTTAGGTTTGGCAGATGAAAAGAAAGTCTGCTACTGCAGGCACCTTTTAACTACATATATGCCGATTAATCTGACCTTTATAACCTTTAGGAATTTTTTTTTAAATTTATTTTATTATTATTGTTTTTAAAGGAAGCCAAGGCGAAGAAGGGTGCCATGTTCTGGAAAAGTATTGTGCAATGGGTTCAGTAAATTGATTCCAATCGCCGCCTTAATTTTTCTGACACAAAAGCCAAATGATAACCAGCATTTCAAAAGGACGTTGAATGTTATTTAAATGCTGTTGTCCCCAAAAAAGAGACTATTTCGTGGTAATTTCTCTTTAGAACGATATATCCGAACTTATTTATTTTATTTTAATTCAACAAAATGGGCTGATGATACATATTACAATATTTATATAACAGACAAGATGAAATATAATATTACAATATTTTTTCAACATAAGAACTAAGAAAGCCTACAAAAAGGGGGCCTCCAAAACTTAGTGGGCTCAAGTTCAGCATGTTTAAGAAAAGTTATTAAAGCCATTAATGATTAATAATTACTTGCCAATTACAATTTCAACATAGGAACTAAGAAAGCCAACAAAAAGAGGTCTTCCAAAACTTAGTGGACTCAGGTTCAGGATGTTTTCCAAAAGTGATGAAAGCCATTAATGCTTAATAATTAATTACCAATATATTTATGCCAACTCAATGAAATTGGATTGAATTATCACTTTTGAAGAAATATGTCCATTGAATCATTGAAAAAAGCAAAAAAAAAAATTCTTCATCTTCTTTCTTATATAAAACCAACTAAAAGCTTAATTTAAAATGTAAAATTTTAATTAAGAATTTGACAATATGATTAAAAGAAAAATAGTCGATTCCCAATCATTTTTATTACCTTTAAGTATTTCGGAAATACAAAGAGAATTGCAAGAGAATTGTGATTTTCTGTAGATACAATCTCTTAGTCATCTAATTTTGATTTTCGTGTAGAGTTAATAATTTTCCCAGTTGTGAAATTGAAGGGCATTTTATAAGCAATTTTAAAAGGAAACATTTTTTTAATAATAAAAAGAATGCAAATTTTCAAATGTATGTTTGAAAATAAGTTTATAAAATTTTCCTACATTTTTGATCAAATTTTTTAATAAAAACTTGCATATATATAAAAGTATATAAATACATTTTGAAAATGCAAATAATAAGCACCTGACAACAAAAAAGGTAAGTTTAAGCAAATCAGTTTAGCAAATAGCGGAAAATATTGAAGTCCCTAATTCTTTAAATTTTGTAAAACTGTAAATTTAGCAAAAAGGGAAGAAACAAAGACCAACTATTCACTAAATAATGTTATTTGCCGACTCTTCTATTTTCGTTGCGATACGAGTATGTGCGCTGACTCCGCCCCATTCTGATATAAATATTTAGTATTAATGGCATATTACCGATTTCACATGTTGGTTGACTATTTGGTATGTGGCATATGTGTGTGTATGTGTGTGTGTGTTTCAACCTGGAGTGGGTGTACAAGCCTTTACAATAAATCACTTGAAAAAGTATACGTGAAATCAATGTAAAGCACTTCAGTCTATCAAGTGTCCAAAGCATGAAAATTGACGTTTATGTTGATATATGAATCAGGCGAGTGGGTCACACACAGAGACATACTGAGGGACAGACAAAAGATCGATCCAGCTAGTGAGCTGAATTGCGATCAATCCTGACCAATATGGAGCACACAGTTGGTAAATAAATACACATACATACAAGTACAAACAAACCATATTAGTTGACGTTACAAACTTTCCAAAGTGCATTTCGTGTTCCAAGTGGCAACTGTCGTCGACAAGACAAATGACAAATAACACACACAACACATATATGGATACATACGTATATACAGAGTACTATATACAGCTGCATGCATATCGAGACAATGTTCCTCTGTACTACTATTAGATAGCGCTGGTTGTGACAACAACTATGACAACAGCAGCAACTTCAAAATGCACTTGAGTTTCTGTTAAATTATTTAGAA